AAGCAGGCTCCAGGCTCTAAGCTATCAGCACAGAGCTCAATGCAGGGCTCGAACCCACGAACACAAGATCATAACCTGAGGTGAAGTCCGACACTCAGCCGACTGAGCCACCCAGGCGCCCCTCAATAAAATAAAATCCTAAAAACAAAAAAACAAAAAACAAAAACCTATCAGCAAAATGGTGGACTGGACAGCTCTAACCAATCCCAACCCCACAGGAACATCAAACAAACAGAAACTATCAGAATTGACTGTCAGAACTCTTGAAACCCATCAAAGGTTTGCAGCAACTAAGCAAATGTTGAAGAAAAAAAGAGATAATTTGAAAATGGTAGAAAGGCTTTATGGTACTTTGGCTTGCTGTCGCCCCATCCCCTCCTCAGCTCCTCAGTGATGGCTTAGCAGAGACAACCTGTGTTATCAGTTCTGGACCCTGGTTTCTAACTCTGGAGGAGGCAGAGCAGATGTTATTCACAAATTATTTTGTAGGTCTGTTCTAACCAACTCAGGGCTTCTTGAAGGATGCACACAGAATGCTCATCTCTGAATTGCCTAACTCAGAGCTCAGGCCAGAAAAGTGGCAGGCATTGCTCCAAAACACTGCAAGATGAACCAACAAACTGCAAGCACCTAGGGTAAAAGATTAAGGTGAAAACAGGTTATCAATCATCTAAATGCTAGGAGGAAAAGTTGTGTGGGGGGAGGGGAGATTCTTCGGGAAATTAGGACATTTCAGAGCCTCCTTTCATAGGGAGGGGATTTGGAAAACTATGGGTATGGCCCAGGTCTAGCCTTACGCTCAGAAAAGACCTGACTGAGAGATCCTAAACTTTCATCTCAGGCTGATCCTCAGACTCCATACAAAACTGGCTTAATGTTGAAGGAATGCCCCAGCACAGAGCCCATCTGCAAATACTAGGACAGGTGTATTCTTTTGTCATTCGTTTGTTCGTTTGGTTGGTTGGTTTGGGGTTTTCTATTTTTAGCTCCTGGCATTTGAAGAAATCTCTGTCAAGATATTAACTGAGCTTGAGCTAAAAGAACAGAGAACTCAGGACCGCACACAACAAAGAATACAGTCCTCGCACAATATACTTTGGAAAAGTGCCTAAACAAATGAAATAAGATAGCCTTCAACAATTTAAAGACAAAAACAAAAATAGCAAGCCCTCAGGGGGAGGAGAATCTGATTTCCACATTTACCACATTATAATGTTAAAATGCCTAGTTTTCAACAAAAAAATCATAAGGCATAAAAGGAAACATAAAACTATGGCCTACTCAAAGGAGTAGAATAAATTATTTTTTTAAATTTTATTTTATTTCATGTTTAACATTTTATTTTATTTTTTGAGAGACAGAGAGAGACAGAGCATGAGCAGGGGAGGGACAGAGAGAGAGACACACACACACAGAATCCAAAGCAGGCTCCAGGCTCTGAGCTGTCAGTACAGAGCCTGATGCAGGGGCTCAAACCCACAAACTGTGAGATCATGACCTGAGCCAAAGTTGGACGCTCAACCGACTGTGCCACCCAGGTGCCCCTATTTCATGTTTTAAAGTTCACTTATTTATTTTGAGAAAGAGAGAAAGGTGTTTGGGAGGGGCAGAGAGAGAGGGAGAGAGAGAACCCCAAGCAGGCTCTACTCCACACTGTCAGCACGGAGCCTGATGCGGGGTTCAAACTCACAAACCACGAGATCATGACTTGAGCCAAAACCAAGAGTCAGATGTGTAAATGACTGAGCCACCCAGGTGTCCCTTTAAATTTTACTTTTAAGTAATCTCTGCACCCAATGTGGGGATTGAACTCACAACCCCAAGACCAAGAGTCACATGCTCCACAAACTAAACCAGCCAGGTGGCCCTCGAAGGAACAGAATAAATTGACAAAAATGAAGTCACCTCTAAGGAAGCCCAAACATCTGACTTACTAGAAAATAACTATAAAGCAACTATCTTAAACATGCTCGAAGACCTAAGGGAAAACATGGAAAGAGAAGTAAAGGAAGTCAGGGAAGTTGTGTATGGACAAACTAAGATTATCAATAAAGAGATAGACATTATGAAAAGAAACCAAACAGAAGCTCTGGATCTGAAAAGGACAATAACCGAAATGAAAAATTCAAGAGGTTTTAACAGAAGATTTGAATGAGCAGAAGAAAGAATCAACAAACCTGAAGACAGGATAATTGACTGTATCAAGTCTGCAGAGCAGAAAGAAAAGAGAACAAGAGTGAACGGTTTGAAAGACCCATGGGCACCATGAAGAGAATCAACAGAGCATTAGAGGAAGCCCAGAAGGGGGAGAGTGTGTGTGTAGAGAGAGTAAAGGGTAGAAAGAATACTTAAAGAAACAATGGGCCAAAACTTTCCAAATTTGATGGCAGATATAAATCTACACATCTAAGAAGCCCACATTGACACATTATAATGAAGCTGTTGAAACCCAAAGAGAAAGAGCAAAATTTGAAAGTACCGAGTAAAAGCTACTCATCATGTACATGCTGTCCTCAGTAAGATTGACAGCCTGATCAAGAATTCTATAGCCAGCAGGGCACCTGGGTGATTCAGTGTCTGTCTTTGGCTCAGGTCATGATCTCACGGTTCATGAGTTCGAGCCCTGCATCAGGCTCTCTGCTGTCAGCACAGAACCTGCTTCGGATCCTCTGTAACCCCCGTCTGCCACGCCCCCACTCGCACTCTCTCTCTTTCTCAAAAATAAATAAACATTTTTTAAAATGTTAAAACTGAGGGGCACCTGGGTGGCTTAGTCGGTTGAGCGCCCGACTTTCGCTTAGGTCATGATCTCGCAGTTCGTGGGTTCGAGCCCCGTGTCGGGCTCTGTGCTGACTGCCAGCTCAGAGCCTGGAGCCTGTTTCAGTCTGTGACTCCCTCTCTCTCTGACCCTCCCCTGATCACGCTCTCTCTCTCTCTCTCTCTCCTAGAAATAGATAAAAAATTAATAAAATGTTAAAACTGAAATAAAAGGACACTAGACAGTAATTCAAAGCCATATCTAAACACATATGCATCCAACAAGAGAGCTCCAAGTTATAAGAAGCAAACATTGACAGAATCAAAAGGAAAAGCAAATAGTTCTACAAAAGCAATGGGAGACTTCAATACTCCACTTTTTTTTTTAATGTTTTATTTATTTCTAGGAGAGAGAGAGAGAGAGACAGCGTGAGCAGAGGAGGGTCAGAGAGAGAGGGAGACACAGAATCCGAAACAGGCTCCAGGCTCCGAGCTGGCAGTCAGCACAGAGCCCGACACGGGGCTCGAACCCACGAACCGCGAGATCAAGACCTAAGCGAAAGTCGGACGCTTAACCGACTAAGCCACCCAGGCGCCCCCAATACTCCACTTTTAATAACGTCTAAAACATCTAGACAGAAGATTAAGGACATAGAGAGTTGAACAGCACTGTAAACCAAGTAGACTGAGGAGACATCTATAGAAAATTCCATGAAAGAACAGCAGAGTACACATTGCTATCACATGTACATGCAGTATCCTCCAGTGTAGGCCGTATGCTAGTGGGAAAAAGTCTTAAAAGATTTTAAAAATTGAAGTCGTGCAAGTGTCTTCAACTACAATGGAAAGAAGCTAGAAATTAATCACAGAAGGAAAACTGGAATGTTTGCAAATATGTAGCTATTAAAACACACAATTCTAAAGAAACCATGGGTCAAAGAAATCACAAAGGAAGTTGGGAAATATCTGGAAACAAATGAAAACAAAGCACAGCATACTAAAAGTCATGGGATGCAGCGAAGGCAGTGCACATGTGAAGTTTACAGCTATAAATGCCTACATTGGAAAAGGAAAAAGATCTCAAATGAATAACCTAACTTTACACCTTGAGGAAGTAGAAAAAGAAAAGTAAATTTAAATCGCAGCTGGTGTGAAGAAGGAAGTAATAAAGGTTAGAGCAAAGATAAATAGTGAATAGAGAAAATGGAATCAATGGAATCAATGAAACCAAAAGTTGCATCTTTGAAAATATCAACAAAATCAACACAGTTTTAACTGGATTGACAAAGGAAAAAGAGGGAAAACGCAAATCGTAAAAATCATAAATAAAAGCGGAGACATTACTACTGACTCACAGAAATAAAAAAGAAGGGCACCTGGGTGGTTTAGTTGGTTAAGTGTCAGACTTTGGCTCAGGTCATGATCTCATGGTTCATGAGTTCAATCCTTGCACCGGGCTCTGTACTGACAGTGGGGAGCCTACTTGGGATTCTTTCTCTCTCCCTCTCTCTATGCCCCTCCCCTTCTTGCACTCTTTCTCAAAATAAAGAAGCTTGTAAAAAAGAAAAAAGATAATAAGAGAATGCTATAAAAAAATTATACGCCACCAAATTAGATAACCTAGATGAAACAAATTCCTAGAAACACACACATCACCTAAACTGACTTAAGAAGAAATAGAAAATCTCAACAGACCTATAATAAAGAGAATCAGTAATCAAGAAACTTCCAACAAAGAAAAACACAAGACTAGAGAGGGCTTCCCTGGTGAATTCTCCCAATCATTCATTGAATAATCACCCTTGATCGAATGGGACTTAAGGGAATTGACCTCCCTGTGCAGTCAAAATTCAGCATATCACTTTTTAAAAATTTTTTTAATTAAAAAAAAAATTTAAGTTTATTCATTTCTAGAGAGACAGAGAGAGTGAGCTGGGGAGGGACAGAGAGAGATGGAGAGAGAGAATCCCAAGCAGGCTCTGCACTGTCAGCATGGAGCCCAATGAGGGGCTCAAACTCATGGAAGGCAAGATCATGACCTGAGCCAAAACTGAGACTCAGACGCTTAACCCACTGAGCCACCCAGGCGGCCCCAGCGTATAACTTTTGAATCCTCACAAATGTAACCACTAGTGGCCTACTGTTGCCCAGAAGCCTTACTTATAACATAAGCAGTTGAATAAAACTATTTTGTAGGTTACATGTATTGTTTTCTAATTTTTTTTTGTTTATTTTTGAGACAGAGAGAGACAGAGCACAAGTGGAGGAGGGGCAGAGAGAGAGGGAGACCCACGATCTGAAACAGGCTCCAGGCTCTGAACTGTCAGCAGAGAACCTAATGTGGGGCTCAAACTCATCAACCGCGAGGTCATGACCTGAGCCAACGTTGGGCGCTTAACCTACTGAGCCACCCAGGTGCCCCTTATTTTCTATTTTGTATGTGTATTATATACTATATTCTTACAATAAAGGGAGCTAGAGAAAAAGATGCATAAGGACAATCATAAGGAGGAGAAAATACATTTACAATCCCACACTGTATTTATCGAAAAAATCCATGTATACACCTGTGCAGGTCAAATCCATGCTGTTCAAGGTTCAGCCATAACACCAATTCTTATCTACCTCCTCCAAAAAATAGAAGAGGAAGCAACACTTATAATGAAGCCAGCATTACCCTGATAATAAAGCCTGATACATTTAAGAAAAGAAAATTACAGACTGTGAGGGAATAGAAAAAATATATATTGGTCTCTGCCCCTGGTTTCTGGCACAGAGCTCTGAAGCCTTTGTAATTTCCTAAGTGATAAAAACACTAGGAGCATCTTTTGTTATAATATTTGGTCTTTGACCCTAGTTCCTGGCACAGGGCTCCTAAAACCTTCGGAATTTCCTGGGTAATAGGAGTGTCTTTTGTTGTAATGAGGCAACTCTGGGTGGGCTCTTGGATGGGGACTTGTCACCAGAAAGACCAACCCATGATTAGAAGTTTGGAATTTCCAGCCATGCCCCCTAATTCTTCAGAAAGGGGAGAGGGGCTATAAATGGAGTTAATGATTTATCATGCCTACGTGATGAAGCCTCCATAAAAATCCCAAAAGTACGGGGTTCAGAGAGCTTCCGGGTTGGTGCACATGTGGAAATGCTGGGAGAGTGGTGTACTCAGAGAGGGCATGAAAATTCCATGCCCCTTCCCATATACCTTGCCCTCCAGATCTCGTCCATCTGAACGTTCACCTGTATCCTTATCAAATCTTCTTATAATAAACAGGTAGACAGTAAGTAAACTGTGGTCCTGAGTTCTGTGGGCCACTCTAGCAGATCAATTGAACCTGAAGGTCATGAGAACCTCTGATTTATAGCCAGTCTATCAACTTGGACTTGCTTATGGGCATTAAGTATTGGGCAGTCTTACAGGACCAAACCCTTAGCCTGAAGGATCTGATAGTATCTGCAGGTAGATAGTGTCAGAACTGGGTTAAATTGTCAGATACCCAGCTTGTGTTGCAGAAAATTGCTTATTGTGGCATTGCAGAAATTTTGTAAGTATGGTGGTAGTTGTGTGAGCGTGAAAGAGAGACACAGAAGGAGGACTGAGGCTTTTAATTAAACACAGATCAATATCCCTTAAGAATATAGTTGTAAAATTCCTAAACCCAAAGCTGGCAAACTAAATCCGAAAGCATATTAAGGAGCACCTGGGTGGCTTAGTCAGTTAAGCATCTATCTGCCTCTTGATTTCAGCTCTGGTCATGCATGATCTCACAGTAATGAGATTGAGCCCTGTGTTGGGCTCCAGGCTGGGCGTGGAGCCTGCCTGAGATTCTCTCCCTCTCCATCCGCTTCTCCCCAACTTACACGCAGACTCTCTCTCTCTGTCTCTAATATATATAGAGAGAGACGTATATATATATATATATATAATTTTTATATTTATATATATATAAAAAATATATATAAATATATATATATATAAAATATTTATAAATATAAATATATAAATATATATATATAAAGGATTACACACCATAACCAAGTAGGATTGATCTCAAGAATGCAAGGATGGTTCAACGTAAGAAAATCAATGTAATACGTCATATTAATGGAACAAACAGAAAAAAAATCACACAATCATCTTTTTAAAAAAAATTTTAATGTTTATTTTTGGGGGTTTTTAAGTATAATTTGTTGTCAAATTGGCTAATATACAGTGTGTACAGTGTGCTCTTGGTTTTGGGAGTAGATTCCGTGGTTCATCGCTTACATACGACACCCAGTGCTCATCCCAACAAGTGCTCTCCTCAATGCCCATCACCCATTTTCCCCTCTCCCCATGCCCCCACCGTCGTCTACCCTGTTTGTTCTCTGTATTTAAGAGTCTCTTATGGTTTGCCTCCCTCCCTCTTTGTTTGTAATTATTTTTTTCCCATTCCCTTCCCCCATCATCTTCTGTTCAGTTTCTCAGGTTTGACATATGAGTGAAATCATACGATATCTGTCGTTCTCTGACTGACTTATTTCACTTAGCATACTACCTTCCAGTTCCATCCACGTTGCTGCAAATGGCATGATTTTATTCTTTCTCATTGCCATTCTTTCTCATAAACCACATCTTTATCCATTCATCAGTTGATGGACATAACGTTTACTTATTTTTTAAAATTTTTTAATGTTTTATTTATTTTTGAGAGACAGAGACAACATGAGCAGGGGAGGGTTAGAGAGAGAGAGAGACACATAATCTGAAGATGGGCTCCAGGCTGTGAGCTAGCTCACAGTACAGAGCCTGACGCGGGGCTTGAACCCACAAACGGTGAGATCATGACCTGAGCTGAAGTTGGACACTTAACCGACCGAGCCACCCAGGTGCTCCTGTTAACTTATTTTTGAAGGAGAGAGAGAGACAGAGCATGAGTGGGGGAGGACAGAGAGAGAGGGAGACACAGAATCTGAAGAAGTCTCCAGGCTCGGAGCTGTCAGCACAAAGCCTGATGTGGGGCTCAAACTCGTGAGCTGTGGGATCCTGACCTGAGCCAAAGTCAGATGCTTAACCGACTAAGCCACCCAGATGCCCCCACCCAGTCATCTTAATTGTGGTGTTAAAGACATTTGTCAAAATCTAGTATCTTTTTATGATAAAAACGCTCAGAAAACTAGGGGTAGAAAGAACTTCTTGTACCTCATAAAGGATATTTATGAAAAACCCATAGGGAACTTCCTCCTCAGTGGTGAGAAGCTGAAAACTTTTCCCCTAAGATAAGAAACAAGACAAGTCTACCTTCACTATTGCTACTTAGCATCACACTGGAAGTTCTAACCAGAGCAATTAGACAAAAAAATAAATAAAAGACATCTAAATTTTAAAGGAAGAGGTAAAACTACTTCTATTCACTGATGTCGTGACCCTATATATAGAAAATCCCAAGGAATCCAGGAGAACTAGAAAATATTTGCAAATCATATCTCATGAGAGTTTAATATCCAGAATATATCAAGGACTCCTACAACTCAATAAGAAAAAGACAAACAATCTAATTTAAAAGTGGGCAAAGGACTTGAATAGATAGTTCTCCAAGAAAGATATACAAATGGACAATAAATGCCTAAAACGATGCTCTGCCTCATTGGTCATTAGGAAAAAGCAAATGAAAACTACAATGAGATACAGCTTCCCACTCAGTAGCGTGGCTATTATCAAAATAATGTGTGGGTATGGAGAGATCGGAATCTTCTCATGCCACTGGTGGGAATGTGGAATGGTGCTGCTTCTGTGAAAAACAATTTGGGAGTTCTTCAAAAAGCTAAACATAGGGGCACCTGGGTAGCTTGGTTGATTAAGTGTCTGACTCTTGATCTCAGCTCAGGTCTTAAACTCAGGGTTGTGAGTTCAATCCCCACACTGGGCATGGAGACTACTTAAAAAAAAAAAAAACTAAACAAAATTACTATATGATCCAGCAGTTCCACTTCTGGGTATATATCCAAAAGAATTGAAAGCAGGGGGATGCCTAGGTGGCTCAGTCCGTTAAGCATCTGACTTTGGCTCTGGTCACAATGTCACGGTTCATGAGGTCAAGCCCCCACACTGGGTGAAGTTGAGCCCTGCTCCAAGCTCTGCGCTCTCTCTCTCTGCCACTTGCTCACTCATGCTCTCTCCCTCTCTCAAAAATTAATTAATTAAGGGGCTCCTGGGTGGCTCAGTCAGTTAAGCGTCTGACTTCAGCTCAGGTCATGATCTCGTGGTTTGTGGGTTCGAGCCCCGCGTCGGGCTCTGTGCTGACAGCTCAGAGCCTGGAGCCTGTTTCAGATTCTGTGTCTCCCTCTCTCTCTGACCCTCCCCTGCTCACGCTGTCTCTCTCTCTCTCTCTCAGAAATAAATAAAACATTAAAAATTTTTTAAAAATTAATTAATTAAAACAAACAAACAAAAGAATTGAAAGCAGGGATTGGAACCAAGCCTGGACACCAATGTTCATTGCAGCGCTGTTCACAATAGCCTGAAGGTGGAAACAGCACAAGTGTCCTTCGCTAGCTGAAAGGATCAACAAAATGTGGTATATCTACATAATGGAATACTACTCACGCATGAAAATGAATGACGTTCTGATCCATGATACAAGTTGGATGAACTCTGCTCTGAACACATGCTGAGTGAAACGTCAGAGACAGACAAGCATTATATGATTACACTTACACAAAATATCTGGAATCTGCACGTTCCTAGAGACAGAAAGTAGATTAGAGGTTGTTACCAGGGGCTAAAGGAAGAGGGGCGGGAATGAGGAATTATTGTTTAATGGTTACAGAGTTTTTGGAATTAAAACGGTAAAGTTTTGGAATTAAGTAGAGGTCATGTGTTATGCATATACAACCTTGTAAATGTACTTCATGCCACACCGAACAGTACGCTTAGAAATGGTTAAAATAGGGGCGTCTGGGTGGCTCGGTTGAGCGTTGCACTTCGACTCAGGTCATGATCCCATGGTTCATGGGTTCAAGTACTACATCGGGCTCTGTGCTGACAGCTCAGAGCCTGGAGCCTGCTTCAGATTCTGTGTCTCCCTCTCTCTCTGCCCCTCCCCTGCTCATTCTCTCTCTCTCTCTCTCTCTCTCTTCCTCTCCCTCCCTCCCTCCGAAATAAAATAAACATTAAAAATTAAAAAAAGAAATGGTTAATACAGCACATTTTATGCTGTATGTATTTTACCACTATAGAAAAATGCAAATTTAAAAAAACCCTTTATTAATATTGGTATCATACTGTCTAGTCCCTTTTGCAACCTGCTCGTTTTCACTCGATGTTCTGGAGATTTGCAAGTCTGGCTCCTCCTTTTTCAGTGCTTATAGCTCAGCGCTTTTCTGGGCTCCTGCCCCTCATTATTGTAAGCCAGGCTGCCGGGAAGACATGCATGTTGGGTGTTTCTGGGATTCACGCCAGCAGCAGAATGGCCGGGTCGGAGCGTCCAGCCACCCTCAACTGCACTGGCAGAGCCAGGTTGCTCTTTAATGCGGTCTGACGGATTCCCACGCCCATCACCAGGGCACTCCCAGCGCCCTCTGCCCACTGTCCCTAGTGCCTGCCCGTGAGCCTCCCCGGGGGTGAGAGAGGCCTCCGAGTGAGTTGTGCTCCCTGACAACTAAGGTTGGGCTTCTATTTTGGGGTGTCCTGCTTCACCTTCCCTGAACTGCCTGGTGATTGAAGTCTGTACTTCACTGAATATTGTGTCCCCAAATTCACGTCCACCTGGAGCCTCAGATTGTGACTGTTAGGGCCTTTGCAGATGTAATTATTTACATTAAAATGAGGTCACATTGGAATAGGATGCTCCCTGAATCCAATGACCGATGTCCTTATTAGAAGGCCATGTGAAGACAGAGGCAGAGATCCGAGGATGCGGCCACCAGCCAAGGGCCGTCAGGGGGTGCGGGAAGCTGGCAGAAGCCAGGAGCGGGGACCCTGGGACCAAGTCTCCCTCACAGCCTCCTGCTGACATTTTGAGTTGGGTCTTCCGGCCTCCAGACTATAAGAGAATAAATTGCTGCTGGTTTAAACCACCCAGTTTCTGGTGACTGTTACAGCCACCCCACGAAACAGTGCCGTTCGCCCATCTTAATATCTGGTGGTTTTGGGGGCGCCTGGGCGGCTCAGTCGGTTAAGCGTCTGACTCCTGGTTTCGGCTCAGGTCGTGGTCTCACAGTTCGTGAGTTAGAGCCCCATGTCAGGCTCTGTGCTGACAGTGCAGAGCCTGCTCGGGACTCTCTCTCTCTCCCTCTTTCTCTGCCCCTCCCCTGCTCGATCTCTCTTTCTTTCTCTCAAATTATATAAACATTTTTTAAAAATATGGTTTTTCCCTTCCATCAGTGCATCTTCATATGTTCTGGAAGCGATTCTTGGTCAGTTAGATGCATGGCAGATGTCTTCTCTCAGTCCCTGGCTTCTCTTTTCCATTTCTTTATGGATTTTTTTTTGATGCCCAAAAGTGCGAAATAGTGAATGACTCTAATGTACCCAAACCCCTCCATTTAGTCTTTTCGTTTTTTCTTTGTCAAGGACAGGTTTTCATTTGTCAGGAAGTTGAGACTGATGTGTGATTCTCCTCTGTGATGCCTCCATCCTGACCTCTTTCTTCTGGGTTTGGGGCTCTGCCAGCCCCTCCCCTTGCCCCCCATGAAGGCTCCGCGGGTCAGGAGCAGTGAGGACAGCTGAGTGTGAGTCAGCCTGTCCACGCCGCCTGGGGCGGAAGTGGTTGGCTCAGCCCCTGGGACCGGCTGTGCGGGTTCCTGGCCGAGGGGGGGCCCTGGACGGCCTGAGCTGGGCAGGAAGTGGGTCAGCTGAGGCAGCAGGCTTCGGGACCCCACGTGCTCACTGCCCGGAACGTTCGGCCGGGGGAACCCCGAGCCAGCCCCCCCTCCCCGCACCCCAGCCCCCTCCCCTAATGCTTCTGTGATGCACATCCGCGGGGCGCCCGTCCACGCAGGGGCCCCTGGCCGGGCAGAAACACCCAATCCCGCCGAATGAAGGTGGCTGAATGTTAGCGCGGGGGAAACGAAGCCCAGAGCAGGGCACCCTGTGCCGGGCCGGCTCACACAACGTCTCAAATCCCTTTCCTTGGCTGGCTAGGGACCCTCTCTGCCCCTCCAGTGTCCTCACAGGAGTCGGGAAGAAAAAATGTCTAGGGACTTCCCGTATCGTCTCCGCCTCTTTCTTTTTTTTTTTTTTTAATTTTTTTTTAATGTTTTATTTATTTCTAGGAGAGAGAGAGACAGCGTGAGCGGGGGAGGGTCAGAGAGAGAGGGAGTCACAGACTGAAACAGGCTCCAGGCTCTGAGCTGGCAGTCAGCACAGAGCCCGACGCGGGGCCCGAACCCACGAACCGCGAGATCATGACCTAAGCGAAAGTCGGACGCTTAACCGACTAAGCCACACAGGCGCCCCTGTCTCCGCCTCTTTCTGAATCTCTCCGTCGCTCTCTTGCATTTCTGCTTTTCAGTCTCTCATAGTCTCTGCCTCTCTTGGCCTCCCCACCTTCCCCATCAGGACCACAGTGGGGGGGGGGTAGGGGGTAGGGGGGGTGCAGCCTGAGCCTGCCCCTCCCCCTTTCCAGGGACCTGGACACGGCAGGGCAGGTCTGAGACACTCCTTGTAGAAACTGCTGAATGCGTGGTGGCGAGATGCCAGTGCAGAAAGGAGGGGGTAGGAAAGTTAAAGAGGGTGTGGGGGAAGGACTTTGGGATATCCGGTTCAGCACTTCCCCCCACCTTACCCCTACCCAGGACTTTCGCACACAATGTGTCCCAAAATGACCTTGGGTTTTGAGGGATGCATAGGAGTTCTCCAGGTATAATGGGGGCAGGAGGGCTTCCAGGCAGAGGGGGTAGCTTGGGTTGGTAGTAGCAAGAGAACAGTGGTTCAAATGCCCAGGAGAGGAGTCAGGCTTTCTCCTGTAAGCCCCAGGGAGCCATGGAGGGCATGAGAGGTGGGGAAGGGCCCCCATCAGATCCCCAGAATGGATCTGGACTAGAAGGATGAGACTGGTGCCTAATAATGAGGGAGCATAATGGGAGCTAAGGGCAAAGTGCAAGCTAGCACCCCCCCTTCCCCCGGTGGACTATGTGTGATGTTCCTCAGACACTCCCAGCCCCCCAAGAACAAAGCAAAGGGGTGTAAGTGCTGGCCATGGTGATGTGGGAAACTAAGGCAAATGAAAAATTAAATTCCCTTCCCTTGAGACAGAGTGGCCTCCCTCCAGGTGCTCAGATGACACTTTGCCCGGGGCAAAGAGAATCTTGGCTTAACATTATCCTGACCCCCCACGATCCTGTAAGTCTACTTTAACATGTAAAAATCCCTTGGAAACTTCCTTTATCTCAACCCCCACCCCCCAAGATATATGTCGGGAATCACACTCCAAGCCTATGGTCCCTGATGCACATCTGAAGGGTCTCATGACTGAGATTTTACTGAGTAATAATAAACGACATTTTCCTAACAGCAGCTAGTCCCTCGAGGTCCTGAACCCTTGCTTCCAAAATTCCTTAGAGGCTGACTCTGCCCCTCCCCCCTCCCCACCTGGGGGTATATGGGCAAGTCACCCTTCACAACCCCAGTGCAGCTCTTTCTGCCCACGGTCTTGTCCCCTTGCTGTAATAAAAGCACCTTTTTTGCGCCAAAGACGTCCTCCAGAATTCTTTCTTGGCCGTCAGCTCTCAACCCCCCGACACCCAAGACCCTCATCTCCAAGTAAGACTGAGACTGTCCAGGCGAGAGCTGAGGGAGACTGTTGAATGGAGCCAAGAGAGGCCTCTCCAAGCCTTAGGCTCTACTGGACCCCCCCCCCCCCCATCTGCTTGGCCTGTTCAGCTCCCTCTGGGTCCCTCATCACTGCTGGATCCCCTGGCTGACTGCACTCCCAGCCTGGAAACTGCTGGGCCCCCGGTGTGTCCCTGGGCCGGGCACCAGTGCACAGTAGGCCCTTCACAAGTGCCGGGTGCAGCCACAGGCAGGCAGGGCTCCAGAGGGAAGGGACAGGTGGTGTGAGGGCCTGGGCTGGAGAAGGAAGCTGGCCTGGGGCTTGTCTTCTGCTCACGGGCAACTCGGGCGCCTCCTTGCGCCCCCTGCTGGCCTCAGGATAGAACACTGAGCGCTCACCCCTTTCCTGCCTTCCTCTGTAATTTCCCGCACACCCATTAAACGCCCAGAGCCGTGCTGGGTGCAGAGGACACTTCCTCTGAGGGTGCAAAGAACCTGTGTCCTCGGGGACTTCCAGGAGGTGCCCCTACCCCAGGAACCAACATTCCCCAAGACAAGTCTTTTTGGTTTCAAGTCTATTCTTTGGGGGCGCCTGGGTGGCTCAGTCAGTTAAGTGGCCGACGTTGGCTCAGGTCATGATCTCGCGGCTCGTGAGTTCAAGCCCCATGTGGGGCTCTTTGCTGACAGCCCAGAGCCTGGAGCCTCATTTAGATTCTGTGTCCCTCTCTCTCTGCCCTGCCCCAGCTGGTGCTCTGTCTCTCTCTCTCTCAAAAATAATAAAAAAACACATTAGGAAAAAAAAAATTTTAATCTATTCTTTGAAAGCCACTGACCCTAGCGTGTCTTCATTCCCTCTGAGGACAGACATAGGGGAATGACCAAGCCCTGTTTTGGGTTCAAACTCTTCAGCGCCAGAGAAGCCGGCCTGGGTTAACTTTCCAGCTTCTCTCCCTGGCCACGACAAGAGGCTTTACTGGAAGAGCCTCAGTTTCCCTGTCTGCAAAAGGTCGTAATAGCACCCCCAGCCACCCCATGGTGGTGAGTGGGAATTTTGCACACGCTGGGAGTCTAAACGATCACGAATCAAACCCCTGCGCCACACTCTCTTGCTGTGGGACGGTAGGCAAGTTACTCCATCTCTCTGTGCATCAGAACAAAGGCGTTGGGTTGAGGAGGGAGACCATTCACTACACAAAGCCTCTCACACTCACAACAGCTGCCACTAAGTGGGCACCAGGGACAGAAATCCCATGAGCCAGGGCCTCCTCTGTCCACTGATGCCTTCAGGCTGAGGATGACCCTGGTGGCCGCTGACCTCTCACAAAGACACAAGAAATCATGTATTTCAACTGTTTTATTTGCTTTCTGGGGTGTCAAGTTTGGGGTGTCCCAGAGCCCAGCCCCCAGCAAAGTCTGACAGACCCTTCCCCAGCCAGGGGTCCCAGCCAGGAGGGTTTGGGACAAGGCACTCACAGGAACTGTGGGGGTCAGGGAGAAGCCACCCGGAGGGTGCAGGGGCCAGGCCCACCTTAGGGACACAGAAAATGCAGTTACCTTCGGTGAGAAGAGAGATACAGGACGAGACAGAAACCTGAGATGTTAATGGGGTCCCAGAAACATGCTGGGTACCCCTCTGGCTGGCAAAATGCCAACTCTGGTCCCCAAGATCCCGATGTAGCTTCCTGGCAGACGCCACGTGCCTGGGGAGCACGGAGCCCAATTCCAAACTGCTTTCTCTGGGACTTCCTGGAGGCAAAGCACGTGGGTCACAAAAGTCACTCCCAGACCCCACCTCTGCAAATGGCTCCAGTGACCTTGGCCTGGGCTCTGGGGAGCTAAGGCCACCTCCCAGAGCCTGGGGTGGCTTCTCCCTTTCTCATTCGTCCCCTTGCTCTGCACCCCATGTTTATCAGAGAGGCAGGCACTTCTGTGGGTCTCCAGGCAGCTGGTGAGGGGGGGAGGCGGGGAATAGGTTCGGCGGGAAGAGCAGCTCAGGGCGGGGACAGGTTCCGCCAGAGGTCTGGAAGCCCATGAAAGCTTGTGACAACTGCCCGTGAACCGGGGGACAGAGTCTCTTAGCAGAAATGTTCAGCGTCCACACAAGATGTGGATGCCAGCCAATGGCCCCCGCACCCCAAACAGCCATCCTTCCGTGGGTGTGAGGGGGGCCGTGGCCTTTAACGTGCGTCCTCACCACGAATATAGAGGCATCCTCCCCTCCCAGCCAGCAGGCCAGGCCCTTTTGAGGCACTTGTCCCTGGAGAAGGGAGATTTACTCTGGGATATAAAAACAAAAGCCCTTTTCGGCTCCCGGGAGCCGACGGATACAGTGGGACTCACGGCCACAAGGGGCCACCCGGCAGCGCGGTGGCCGGCCTCTGCCCATGTGACCATCCGTGTCCCCACACTGCCTGCAGGCTCACGCGTGCGCTTTCGAAGGTCTCAGGGCAGAGGCTGGGTCCGTGGAGAAGAATGGGGCTTTGTCTATCCCCAAAGGGGACTTTTGGGTTTAAACACTCCAAGGGGTGGAGAGGTCAAAGGTCCACAGTCTAGACAGTGGCCGCAGAAAAGAGGCTGGTGTGGTGGGCGGGTCTGCAGGAGCGGCTCCCCTTCCCGGCCCAGTCACCCTCGAGGGACACAGGCGTGCGGGTGTGCTCACACACCAGCTGGCCTGGCCTCCTGGCAGAAACTTCTAAGACAACAAAAAGGCATCCTGGATCTACTTTTTCAGCCGTCCCCCTGGGCAGGCCCTTTCTGTTCTAGAAGTTACCGTGCCAGCAAAGAGCAAGGTGGCTGAAAAGCATTTGCCTGGATAAACTATTGCAATCTGACGTTTCCTCCCAACACCCGGCGCCACCTGGGAAGCCATGACTTCTGTCCCCCACCTGGCCCCGTCTCTCCCAGGGGCCAAGGGACCTTGGCTGTTCCTTGACTGGACCAGGTGGGCCAGGTGGCACAAACCCAGGCCACTCACTCAAATTCCTGCTTCTTCCCGCCTTTCTTTCTCTCTGACCACTCCTTATCTTTTTCTCAAGCTACACACTCACGTACCTACCACTGACCTTCTTTTTGGTGAGGAAGGGGAAACCAAAGGGGCTGAGAGAAGAAAAGTATGAGGTGCAGAGGCTCAAGCCCCTTGAAGGAGATGCCATCACCAGACACCCAGATGACTATTGCTGTCTCCGTCCCCCACCTCTGCACCCCACTGTGGGGGCCCAGGGAGAGGCGCCCCTCCGCCCTCCTATGAGATTCCCCCAACAGCCTTCCCACCACATCCTCTGCCCATCTTCCTACCACTCACACTTGCTGCACCCACCTCTCTCAGCCTCTCTCCCTTCCACATGCTGCTAAGCCACACCCACTTCACCCCATTCTGCGTGACCCTTCCCCCTGAGACCCTGCGGATGGTGAGGGAGGAAGAATGGGGCTTGGTACTCCCTTCTCGCACAAGGACATTCTAGTCCGAGGCTTAACAAATGCAGACAGACACGCCATGGAGAGAACAGGTGAGTTTGCCCGAAAATTGGACAATAAAAAAGCTGGCAGGAGGTGGGTGAAATGTTTAATGGCTGTCTGATTAAATAAGAAGGAGCGAAATGCCCTTGGACAAGGAGAGGATTCCGGCTGAACTTGGTGAGGAAATCTAAAATCATTGCAGGAACACAAAAATGACATACATACACTCGACAATGATCGGACAATAAGTTACAGCTCTAAATGTCTGAATTACATGATGCTTCAAACAGAGAGGCGAGATGAAGACAAAAGAAAGATGAAAATGTGGAGTTTGGGGATGGTGTGTCTGGGTCCTAGCGGGTACCCAGCTAAGCACAGACCTGGCTCATCTTCAGGACCCCTCCGCCCCTTCCTCCGCCATCTTGCTTGGCTTCATTTCCTCCTCGGACCCCTGCAGATCAGACCTTCGGGGAAGAAAGCTACAGGACACTGGATGTTCTGAATAGGACCTCGGGGGGACCCATGAGCCTTGAGCTCCCATACTCAGAAGACCCACAATTTCTGCTCCTGGAATCCCACACTGCAGATTTCTCAGGAGACTCCAAACTCAGACTGGGGACGTGAAAGGGGCATTTCTGGTAGAAGGCAGGCCGGCATGGAGAGAGGACAGAGTCCCAATCATTTCAACCTGCCAGCCACAGCCCACACCCATTGCCAAGTGCAGGCCCCAAGTCACCCACTGCCCCCTCCAGAGGAAACCCAGGACTCTGAACATGCATTTAACTCAGAAACCCATCAAGCCGGTTCCCCAGCGACACAGCAGCTCAGCGGAGGCAGGACCTCCCCTAGCCATCGGAACAAGCGAGGAGGAAGTGAACGTTGAAGAAAACCAAACCAAACCAAACCCTCGTCTGTTTTCAAAAGAACTGCATGCTGGGAAACAGCGACACGCTCCGACTCGGCATCAGATTCCAGTGCACCTCACACTCAGGGGCGTGATGAAGCCACAGTCTCCCACAGAGGAACCTTCCCGAATGTGTGCATCCTCGGTTGGCTTCCTGGTCGCTGTTGTCATTCTCTCCCTCAGACGAGTATCAAGGCCCAACTGGGTGGCCTCACTCTCATCCCCAGCTGGTCACGTTCAAAGTTCCCAGGGAGTGAGATCAAAATTTACTCCCAAGTCCTGGGCGTGGCTCCAAAAACCATCCACACGAAAGCCCACTGACCGCTCGGCCACCCTCCTGCACCAACAGGCTGGCACACGTGGAGTTCGGCAAACTCCAGCCCCTGGGCCCCTTCTGGCGCCCTCAATAAGGAGAGCAAAAAGCTGGTCCCCAACACCGAGTCTGCAAAACCGCAGGCCAGATGTGGGCTGGGTTTGCAGCTGCTGCACGTTTTTACGTATTAAAAAAATCCAAAGTCATGTGCATGTCAAAATGACAAGGTCTGCTTTTCCCCCCGGCAGCCTCGCTCCAGAGGACCCCAGGGGACAGCTCACCACTCTGGTCAGTTTCAAGGGTCAGCCCACCTTTTGAACCACCTGGGGCAGCAGCAGCTCCCACTCCTTCATGGCCTGGCCAAACATCCTGTCCGCCCCGAGAAAAGGGAACTTGATGTCAGCTTGGGCAGAAAGATGTAGGTCTGGTTTTTGAAGAGAGGCAGAATGGGCGGCACCCGAGGAAAAAGAAAAGATACTTTGTTGTTGGCTAAAGGCCGCGTTTTAACCAAAGGGACTATAAATTCCTGCGTGCCCAAACTAGCACTATTGTTTTTTAAAAAGAGAATAAGAAAGAGAAAGAGAGAGAGAGAAAAAAAAAAAAAAGCAGCCCTGTCATATCCCAAGGCAGCCCTTCCCAGGGCTGCCCAGGCTGTTGGGACATGAATCAGGGCAAAGACATTTCAAGGAGTTTTGGAAAAACCAGCCATGGATGAAGGGAATGCCAGAATCCCTTCATCAGAGACTCAGACAGGCCGCTGAACAGGTGGCCCCAGCCGTGGGATCGAAGAGCAGAGATCCACTCGACGGGGATTCCCTATGGAGATCGGGACCCACTGGCTTCCCGGCCATCGTGGCTGTGTCCTCTAAAGCAAAGGGCAATAGAGGAACAATCTTCAGCCACCCCTTGCCAATCGACCAGCCCTTTTGCGGAGAAGAAGAGAGAGGAGGTATGTAAGTCGGAATACTGGTCCAAATCAGACGCCCAGCGGCCAGGCTTATCCTCCTCGGCCAGGCCCCAGAAGGCAGACGTTCCCCCTGGGGTTCCGAGTGGGACGAGGTCCTGGGAGGCCTAAGAGGCTCTCAGTGTTTGTGGCGACAGCTGATTTTGCCTTCTGACTGCTCCAGGACGTCCAGCATCTCCTCGATGATGGCCTGCAGCGCCCTGCCCAGCTGGTCTGCGTTGTACGGCTTGCCCAGCGGGGGCACGTGAACAAAGGCTGAGCGGCCGTGACTCTGGTACAGAGAGGTGTAGTAGGTGAAGTCGCAGAGGTACCTAAGTTGCAGGGTGTGGGGGTGGAGACCAAAACAGGGTCAGAGGGTCAGAGAGTCAATACGCAGACTAACATGACAGCCTCCATCCAGATCTACCGTAACAACCCCCGTCTCGCCAGAAAACCGCAAGATGAAACACCACTTCACCCTCCCCAGGTTGGCAAAAAAACCACAAAAACACCCTGATAACTTCGTGTGCTGGTGTGGATGTGAGGAAGGAGGCAGTATCAGACGCTACCAGGGGGGTGTGAATTGCCCCAGGGGGAAAATTTGGCAGGCTAGTGATATTACAAATGCCCAGACTTCATGACATATTATTTCTGGTTTTCAGAATCTGAATTCAGAAGCCAGTGGCATGACGGCACAACAAAGATCAACAAGGCATTCGCTGCATTGTTAAATATAAAAGTAGAAAAATAGGAAGTAAGTTGCCCCAGTCTGGATGTCCCACCTCAACTTCAATGTTGAAGCCCTTAACCCCCAATGTGATAGTCTTTTTTTTTTTAATGTTTTATTTATTTCTGAGAGAGAGAGAGAGAGATAGCATGAGCAGGGGAGGGTCAGAGAGAGAGGGAAACACAGAATCCAAAGCAGGCTCCAGGCTCTGAGCTGTCAGTGCAGAGCCTGACGTGGGGCTCAAACCCACGAACCGTGAGATCATGACCTGAGCCAAAGTCGGACGCTTAACCAACTGAGCCATCCAGGCGACCCCCCCAATGTGATAGTCTTAAGAGGTGGGGCGTTTGGGAAGTGAGAGCCCCTTATGAATGGGGTTAGGGCCCTTATAAAAGAGACCCCAGAGAGCTGCCTCCCTCCTCCTGTCAGAGCAAACAGTGGGCAGTCTGCAGACCAGAGGGAGGCCTTCATCACCAAATGACCAGACCAGTGCCTTGATCTTGAACTTCCCAGCCTCCCGAATTGTGAGCAGTTACTTTCTGTTGTTGATAAGCTGCCCAGTATGTGGTATTTGGTTGTAGCAGCCCGAATGGACCTGGACGCAATATAAATGTCCATTGGCAGAAGAGTGGCTTAATAAATTGGCTCATCCACACAATGGAATACTATGCAGCCATTTACATGGCACGTAGTGGATCCAGAGGGAAAAGGAGAATTCACCAAGACCCATGTTGTGTGCCCACAAGTGACACATCTCAGGGGAGGAAGGGATGAAGGAACGTCTCAGGAAAATACACATCATGTAACCCCATCCACATAAAAGCAAAACAAAATCGGACAAAATCCTAAACTAGCACACCAAGTGTTCATATACTATTGATCCCTGAACATGGCTTTGAACTGCAAGGGTCCACTTATATGAGGATTTTTTTCAGTAAATCCAGTACTGTAAATGCATTTCCTTTTCTTTATGATTTTCTGTTATTGTTGTTGTTTGCTTTTATATTAATTCCAGTGAGTTAACATACAGTGTGATATTAGTTTCAGGTGTACGATATAGTAATTCAATGCTTGAGTATAACACCCAGCCCTCATCGTGACTAGCGCCCTCCCTGATCCCCATCACCTATTTCACCCATCCTTCCCCTCCAATCAGCATTGGTGTGTTCTCTTTAGTTAAGACTCTGTTTCTTGGGGTGCCTGGGTGGCTCAGTCGGTTAAGTGTCCAACTTTGGCTCAGGTCATGATCTCATGGTTTGTGGGTTTGAGCCCCATGTCAAGCTCCGTGCTGACAATTCAGAGCCTGGAGCCTGTTTCAGATTCTGTGTCTCCCTCTCTCTCTCTGCCCTTTCCCAACTCATGCTCTGTTTCTGTCTCAAAAATAAATAAACATAAAAAATTTTTTAAAAAGACTCTGTTTCTTGGTTTGCCTCTCTCTTTTTTTCCCCTTTGCTCATTTGTTTCTTAAGTTCCACATATGAGTGAAGTTATATGGTATTTGTCTTTCTCTGACTGGCTTATTTTGCTTAGAATGACACTCTCTAGCTCCATCCATGGTGTTACAAATGGCAAGATTTCATTCTTTTTTATGGCTGAATGATATTCCTCTGTGTGTGTGTGTGTGTGTGTGTGTGTGTGTGTGTGTGTGTGTGTGTGTATCACATCTTCTTTGTCCATTCTTCAATCAATGGACACTTGGGCTGCTTCCATTTCCTTATGATTTTTTTTTAACGTAAGTTCTACACCCAACATGGGGCCTAAACCCATGACCCTGAGATCAAGAGTCGCTCACTCTACTGACTGAGACAGACTGGCGCCCCTCCTTATGATTTTCTTAATAACATTTTCTTTTCTCTAACTTACCTTACTGTAAAAATACAGTACATCTATGTATATACATACATATACAAATAACATACAAAATGTGTGTTAATCAACTGTTTATGTTATTAGTAAGGCTTCTGGTTAACAGTGATCTATTAGTAGTTAAGTTTGGCAGGGGTGGGGGTGAGTCAAATGTTATGCAGATTTTGTATGCAGGGGGGTGATCAGCAGCCGTACCGCCCATGTTGTTCAAGGGTTAACCGTCGCTAGAGAGGAGAGAGGGGGAGAGAATTTTTACAGTGGAAACATATGAGAATATAGCCTAGAGTTACCTGTGGGATATGGAATTAGTTTTAAAAACAGAATGATGGGGGCACCTGAGGGGCTCAGGCAGTTAAGCATCCAACTCTTGGTTTTGGCTCAGGTCATGATCTCAGGGTTCATGAGTTCGAGCCACACATCGGGCTCTGCACTGACCGCATGGGACGCTCTGGATTCTCTGTCTCCCTCTCTCTCTCTCTCTGCCCCTCCCCTCGTTCTCTATCTCTCTCTCTCAAAATAAATAAATCAATAACATTTAAAAAAATAAAGAGATCAATGGTGAATACGGCTACTCCATTCAGTCTCCTGAATCTGCCACCTGGTGCAGAGAAGTGTACAGTGACACCTGGTGCAGAGAGGGCATTGAACAGTGGGGACATAAGTTGGTCTGGGAGGTTGCAGACGGCCCCCAAGGAGGCAATGTGTTGGAGCTAAGACCCAAAAGACACCTTATCAGAGGGAGGTGAGATCAGCACAGGAGTACAGAGGCCACATCATATGCAAAGGCCCTGAGGCTAGAGTGAGCGTGCTGTATTTGAGGAAGCAGAGGAGACTGGCTTGTGTGGCTCGCATGCAGTGGGGAACAGAAGAGTGAAGGCAGATGAGAGTGGAGAGGTGGGCAGGGGCCAGACCCCACAGAACCTGTGGATGGTGGTGGAGACAGGTTGGCTCTTATTCCAGGTGCGGTGGGAGCTGCAGGAGGGATTAAGCAAGGAAGGGACACCATCTGACTCAAGTTTATAAAAGACCTTGGGGTGCCTGGCTGGCTCAGTTGGTTAGGCGTCTAACTTCGGCTCAGGTCAGGATCTCATGGTTCGTGGGTTCGAGCCCCGCATCAAGCTCTGTGCTGACAGCTCAGAGCCTGGAGCCTGCTTCAGATTCTGTGTCTCCCTTTCTATCTCTCTGACCCTCTCCTACTCATGCTGTCTCTCTCTCTCTCTCTCTCAGAAAAAAAAAAAAATTTATAAAAGACCTCATAAAAGGCCAAAGAGTTTCCTCCCAAAATGTATGTTCAACTGGAATCTCAAAATGTGACCTTATTTGGATATAGGGGTTTTGCAGATGTAATTAGTTAATACGAAATCATATCGGACCCAGGGAGGTCCTACATCCAGTGGCTGATGTCCTTATGAAAAGGGCATATAAACACACACACAGGGAAGAGGGAAGTGTGGAGACGGAGGCAACAATCGGGGTGATGCGGTCACAAGCCAAGGGGCCCCAAGGGTTACCCGCAGCCACCAAAAGCCAGGAGAGAGTCAGGGAACAGATCTCCCCCTCGGGGCCTCTAGGAGGAGCGCACGTTGCCAACACCTTGACTTTGGACTTCGAGCCTCCAGAACTGGGAGATGATAAATTTTTGTTGTTTTTGTTGTCCTAAGCTGCCAAGGTGATGCGTTTTGTTACAACAGAAAACACACACAGAAACAAACTGCTTGGAGGAGGAGGCCCCCCAGGGCCAGGGTAGAGGTGGCAGGAGGGGCACCAGGGAGAGAGCTAGGGCAGCAGCGTCCAGTGGGAGACGCTAGCACGGGGCGGGGGAGTGGACGGGCAGATTCGTACATAGTGAGTTCTAGAAGCAGAATCCGTGGCACCTGTTACGTGCGTGCACTTGGCTCTGAGCCTCACGAACGGTGAGCCCTCTGCCCACAGAGGCCAAATCAATGCACTTGGCTTGTTCAACGCTAGCCTGGGCCGGTGGAGGAGGGAAAGCACCACTCGCACTCACCCCAAGGCGCCCTACCTGCCGGCATCTTGGGAGATGGTCACTGACACGTCCAGGCCCAGCGTGGTGACCCTCTTACATACAGCATCCATGTCGATGATGGAGTCAATGCTTTCGGGCCCGTCCTCCACGCAGCACTGGGAGCCGGGGCAGAAGCGGCAGTTGTCCAGCCCCTTGTAGCCCTTGTTATGCCCGCACTTCTCCAGTGTGACCGCAGTCGCCATGCCCGACACCCCCACATGCACCACGAGCTGCAGACAGACGGGCAGGGCCATGAGACGGGGTACCCCCCCCCCCCCCCCCCGCAGGCGGAGGAGAGGATGGCATCCTCTCCCGGCTCTGCCTGGAGTTACACTGTTTCCAGCCTCTTGCGGGGCAGAATGGACCACACACACGACCGCACAGAGGGACAGGCGGAGCGAAACATGCAAGGATGTGAAACATGCAAGGGTGTTCATTGCAACTGTGTTAATACAAACACCGGAAACAACCTAATCAGCGGTTAGTAGGGGGCTGGCTAAATACATCACGGAGCTGACCTTCCAAAAGTAGTTCTATACAGAATGACTTTCCAGACATAGTGCCAAATGCAAAAGACAAGGTGTCACTTTCAGGAATCAAACCTAACAGTGCTCAAAGAGGTAATAATCTGTCAATGATCACTTCAGTGTTTTTCATAAAAATGAGAAAAAAACATGAAAACACTGGCAGGCTCAATAATAAGAGATCGGTTATGTCCATTACTATAAGCTACCCAGCTGTTAACACAATATAAGGAAGGATTTTTAATGACCTACATAATAAAATGCTCACAAGAAAATATTTATAACCAGCAGGATACCCAATGAAGTACAGTTGAATTTCAACTAGTAATTATTATTTGTATATATGCTTACACACAGAGAGGGCTGTAAGAAAATATATAAACATTTATTTTTTAAACTTTTTTACTGTTTATTTTTGAAAGAGAGAGAGAGAGACAGCAAGAGCAGGGGAGGGACAGAGAGACAGGGAGACACAGAATCTGAAACAGGCTCCAGGCTCTGAGCTGTCAGCACAGAGCCCAACGTGGGGCTCGAACCCACGAACCGCGAGATCATGACCTGAGCCCATTTAAAATATGGGCTGACAATGGTGAGCTCAAGCCACGCTTCGGGTAAAACAGAAGCCCCACTTCGGATGAGCCTCGCTTCTCTCTCTCTCTCTCTTTCTCTCCACCCTCTCACTTGTGCCTCCCCCTCAAAAAATAAGAAAATATGGGGCGCCTGGGTGGCTCAGTCAGTTAAGCGTCCGACTTCGGCTCAGGTCAGGATCTCACGGTTCATGGGTTCGAGCCCCGTGTCGGACTCTGTGCTGACAGCTAGCTCAGAGCCTGGAGACTGCTTCGGATTCTGTGCCCCCCCCCCCCCCCCCGCCCCTTCCCCACTCACATTCTGTCTGTCTCTCTCAAAAATAAACGAGCAAACAAAATTTAATTTTAAAAAGTATAACTTTAAAAGTTGATTACAGGTTGAGAGGATAATACTTTAGACACATGGGGTTATGCTGAAGAAATGATTAAAATGAATTTCACCCATTTGCTTTCACATCTTCTAAACGTGGCGAGGAGAAGATGTAAAGCGTCCTGCGGAAGGGCGTGAGGATGTCCCCCCCATACTGCTGGGGACTCTTAACTCCCCGGAGTTACCAGGTGAGTTGATTTATTACCAAACGCCCCACATCTGGCACTGTCCTATCTGGCGTTCCGTAAATTGAATATTGGTGAATGTGAAAACAAAACGCAGCTGTTGGGGCACCTGGGTGGCTCAGTCGGTTAAGCGTCTGACTTCGGCTCAGGTCATGATCTCACAGTTCGTGGGTTCGAGCCCCACATCAGGCTCTGTGCTGACAGCTCAGAACCTGGAGCCTGTTTCGGATTCTGTGTTTCCCTCTCTCTCTGCCCTTCCCCTGCTCATGCTCTGTCTCTCTCTCTCTCTCTCTCTCAGAGATAAAAAAAATTTTTTTTTTATATTTTTTATTTATTTCTAGGAGAGAGAGAGAGAGACAGTGTGAGCAGGGGAGGGTCAGAGAGAGGGAGACACAGACTCCGAAACAGGCTCCAGGCTCTGAGCCGGCAGTCAGCACAGAGCCCGACGCGGGGGTCGAACCCACGAACTGCGAGATCATGACCTAAGCGAAAGTCGGACGCTTAACCGACTAAGCCACCCAGGCGCCCCTAAAAAAAAAATTTTTTTTTAATGGCAACTGTTGTATAAGGAGCTGCAAGGTGATCCCCCACGTGTAAAAAAGAAAAAAAAAAAGTCCCCGTCCTAATTGCCTGGAAACCGTGACTCTGACCTTCTTTGGAAAAGGGTCTTTATTGATGTAAGTAATGAGTAAGTAAAGGATCTCTTGACAAGATCCTCCTGGATTTATCTGGGCGGGCCCCAAATCCAATGGCAAATGTCCTTAAAAGAGACACATGAAGAAAAGGCAGAGCCAGAGAGGAGGAGAAGGGCCCACGTGACCACGGAGGGAGAAGGTGGAGGCAACCCGAGCTGAGCCTCCCCTGAGGGAGACGGTTCGGCTGCTGATGCCTTGATTTGAGATTTCTGCGCCTCCAGAAATGTGAGACTGCATTTCTGTGCTTCAAAGTTTACGGCCATATCTTACAGCAGCCGCAGGAACCCAGTGCACCGCACACGTGTATGCACACTAGTGTACATGTACACGCAGGCGTGCACATATAAGTGTGAGTGATCAAATAGCAGTGATCGTGGTGCCAGTTAACTAACCAGGGAGGATTCTCTATGGTGGGAAAGACATTTAAAAACATGTTCATGCTTTAGGGTATTTTTGTTTAACTAGAAAAAGGCAGGACTGCACAGAAAAGGCAGAAGGGGGCGCCTGGGGAGCTCAGTTGGTTACGTGTCCGGCTTGGGCTCAGCTCATGATCTCACAATTCGTGAGTTTGAGCCCTGCGTCGAGCTATGTGCTGACAGCTCAGAGCCTGGAGCCTGCTTCAGATTCTGTGTCTCCCTCTCTCTCTGCCCCTCCCTCCCTCTCTCTCTCCCCTTCTCTCTCCCAAAAATAAATAAAAATTACAAAAAGAAAAAGAAAAAGAGGGGCACCTGAGTGGCTCAGTTGGTTAAGCATCCAACTTTGGCTGGGGTCATGGTTTACAGGATCAAGCCCTGTGTCCAGCTCTCTGCTGGCAGCTCGGAGCCTGGAGCCTGTTTCAGATTCTGTGTCTCCCTCTCCCTCTGACCCTCCCCTGCTCATGCTCTATCTCTCTCTCTCTCAAAAATAAATCAACATTAAAAACATTTTTTTAAGAGAAAGAAAAAACAGAAGAAAAAGTGCATGGGTACAATCACGTGTCACTAACTCTCCAGGTCCCCCTCTCACAAGGGACAAAGTCCATCTGAGACTCAATGAAGGCTCATTAGGAAAGAACTTTCTACTGGAAGGTTGGCCTGGCCCGAGCAGGCTAGGGTGGGAAGCTGGGCGGAGTGTCCACAGGCGACCAGAACCTCACTTATCAGAGGTACCAGCCCAGGTACCTTCCCAGGTGACGGTCCCTGGGGACCCCCTGGAGCTCTCTGAGCCACATGTGTCTGCGGTGGGAGAGGGTGGCTCCTTCCTGTCTGGCCTCCATCACACCACATCTGGTGACAGTCAACTGTCCCCTTGTGGAAGCCTCAGCTCCCCCTTCTCCTTCCAGGAGGTCTGGACAGAGGTGAGACCACCCGCTGGCCACCAGAGTAGACATGTGACCAGAGCATTCCTCCCTCCAGCCCCCAGCCATAGTGATTGGCAGGGGACCCAAGTGGCCAGTGAGAATCAGCCATGGAATTATCAAAAGGAAAGATGTCTTCTTTCTGCTGAGGGGCTGAGTTGCTGGGGTATCAGCCCGCAGCCGCCTATCTTTGCCAAAGCAAAAGCGAAGTACAAAGCAAAGCTGAATGGCCAAGAGGGAAGGCTGATAACACTGGGTGAGCGCCTGGATCAAGCTATACCTGAAGCATACAAACGTTTTGCTTAAGCTGAGTTAAGGTGCGCGCTGTCACATAAAACTAAATGTGTCGTGACTGATACAGAACTCCAGGGGGACAGAGCCAGGCTCTGTGGGGTCGCAGGTGCTTGCACTCCTCCCTCACGTCCATGGGTAACCGAGGAAAGTGTGGCCCTTTGGGGGGACAAGGCCATGGCACGGGCCATGTGACTGCAGCAGGGACAAAGCCACATGGATCATCGAAGCGCGGGGTGCCCACCTGCGGGCCCCAATGAGGCGCCGCCTGCCTGCACCCCACTCACCTGTGGGCTGTGCTTCTCCCACAGGGCAGGGATGAGCCTCTGCACCGTCTTGTACTCGACTGGGATCTCATACACGTGCAGGTCCACGCTGTCGCCGAGCCCCAGCTTCTCCAGCTCCTGGAAGGGAGAGGGCGTGTTGTGGCATCCGGCGGGGGCTGCAGGGTTGACGTGTCCCCAGGGGACAGACTGGCCCGTCCTCAGACAGCAGGTGGGGATCCTGACTCAGTGCGCAGAGTGGGAGGAGGGGTGCGTGTGCTGCTCCTCCCCAAAGCTCCTCCCTCCCCCCTCCCCCCCACTCACTCTTCTCAGACCGCATCTCCGCAGGCAGCAGCATAAGGCTGCGGCCTTTGACACTAGGCGCCCAGCTTTGAACCCTATGTGATCCTGGGCAACTTACTTAACCTCTCTGAGCCCGTTTCCTCATCCATAAAATGGGGATAAAAAAGTAGCCATTTCACAAGGTAGCTATAAGGACTAAATGAACACATTCACACTGAGTTCCCAGAGATGCTTGGCACATTGTATGCACTCAAATAATGTTGGCTCCCATTACTATTATTGTCTTTGCTATTGTTTGTTACTATACTTTCCCCTTCATTACACCCTGATGAGAATTATTTATAGACTTGGCGCATGCCACAGAGCAGGGTCTCAGTTCCTGTTCACAGATGGACCCAACTCCTCGGGGACCCTCTAACAATCCTGAGCATGAGGTGGCTTGAAAACATCATGAGGGGCACCTGGGTGGCTCAGTCGGTTAAGCGTCCAACTTTGGCTCACGTTGTGATCTCGCAGTTTGTGAGTTCGAGCCCCGCGTTGGGCTCTGTGCTGACAGCTCAGAGCCTAGAACCTGCTTCAGATTCTATGTCTCCCTCTCTCTCTGCCCCTCCCCTGCTCGGGCGCTCACTCTTTCTCTCTCAAAGAATAACTAAACATTTAAAAACACATGTTTTAATTGATAGTCGGAATAATGAAAGCTGCAGGACTGCTTCCCACCGTCCCCTGTGTCGTGCAGGGGTCGGAAGATGCTACCACTGGCGGGTGTGGGGTCCCAGACAAGGCCTTTTCTGCACACACTTGGCTTCGCTGAGCTAATTCACTGCGGGTGAGTTCTCGCATCTCCTGAAGTGGCTTCAGGGTTATTTTATCCAGTTGCCTTGACCTTGCTATCCGCGCGGTCCCAACGCCACACTCATTTGCCCACAGCTGCTGGAGAGCATCCAACACCTGGAAAGGCCGGTCCCTTCCCACCGACAGAGACTTCCCACCTATTCCCCCGGGAGGTGCGTCAAGGTCACCTGGAGACAGGATACCAGGATGGGGGCGGGGCATGGCGTATGTGTGTGGTAAAGCTCACTTAAGTTTATTTTATCATTCTGAGAGAGAGGGAGGCAGAGAGAGAGAAGGAGAGAATCTGAAGCAGGCTCTGCACAAATAGCATGGAGCTCGACATGGGGCTCGAACTTACAAACTGTGAGATCACAGCCTGAGCCGAAATCAAGAGTCGGACACTTAACTGACTGAGCCACTCAGATGCCCCAAATCACTGGGTCATTTTTTTTTTTTTGAGAGAGAGAGAGAGCACATGCACAAGCAAGTGGGGGAGGGGCAGAGAGAGAAGGGCACAGAGGATCTGAAGCAGGCTCAGTGCTGCTGACACCACAGAGGCCGATGCGGTGCTCGAACTCCCGAGTGGTGAGATCATGACCTGGACCAACGCTGGACGCTCAGCTGACTGAGCCACCCAGGCGCCCCCCATGTGGGGGAATCTTAAACGCCAGTGCAGGGAACTGAGACCCCATCCCTGTCACCAAGCGCAGTAATGTGTGGAATCAAAGAATGCCCTCCCCCCAAGAAACCCCATGGCCAACGGAGGGCACATCTGCCCCCTGGGCACTGGCGCACAGGTGGGCTGCAGGCGGCTGCTGGGGCAGGTGGATGGGAGATGAGCGGGTGGCATTTTGTGTGACATCAATTTCAACACCCTTAAAATATCCTTAAGAGAAATGTGGCAAAATATTTCATTTCTCTTACGATGTTTTCTCTCGGTCATGAGTAGTATTACTCTCATGTTCCCTTTTCCTCTAAGCCTCAACTTCCCGGACTGCGCAATGGGACCAGGGAGCACTCCCCCTTAAAGGGGAGGGGACTTGGGGACGAAGCAGGCGTGGAGCTCACCAGCAAGTCTGCACGCCATCAAACCCCCCGGAAGGCTTTGCATCTATCACCCGATTTCCACGCCCACGATGTCACGCACACTTGCCCGCACGCCACACACCAGGGGGATTATTCTGGACGGCTACACAAACACAGACAGACACTCGCTTGCTGGAGTTCTTTTCATGGTAAATTGAATCCTCCAGACAGTAAGTGTCGGTCGGGCTCTCTGAGATCATTCCCAGATCTCAGTGGTGTGAAGCCTTCCCGGTGGACGCCAGACAGTCCCATGGGCAGGATTTATGGGATACGCCAAGTTCTGTGTGGCAATTTGGGGACTCAAGCACCATGGTCTCCCACCCTACTCCACCCCAACCTGCTTGCCTCCCAAGGCAACATCTAAAATCCCATCACCCCCTTCCCCTGCTCCCGCTTTGCTGTGCTTCCTGCCGCATCTAGAATAAAAATCCTAACTCCCCGGGGCACTTGGGTGGCTCAGTCGGTTAAGCGTCCAGCTTCGGCTCAGGTCATGATCTCACGGTTCATGGGTTCGAGCCCCGTGTCCGGCTCTGTGCTGACAGCTCTGAGCCTTGAGCCTGTTTCAGATTCTGTGTCTCCCTCTCTCTCTGCCCCTCCTCTGCTCACGTTTCTCTCTCTCTCTCAGAAATAAATAAAACAACAACAACAAAAAAAATCCTAACTCCCCACCATCCTCCAGGAGGTGCATAAACGGGACGCTGCCAACTTCCTTGCCCTCCTCTCCCTTCACCCTCACCCCACTTTTGCTCACTTCTCTCCAGCCACGTGGCCTCCCTGACACCAGACTCACTCCTGCCTCAGGGCCTTTGCACTGGCTATTTTCACTCCATGGAACACTCTTCCCCTTACTTTCCGGTCAGTCAACTCTTTCCTTAGCCTTCATGTCACAGCCTCCTGAGCAGCACTGTGGACACCCACACTCCCTCAGCCCCACAAAATGGTGTTCCTGCTCTAGCACAGGACATGAGCGTGGTAGGTGCTTGTGGATACTGGCTGGACTGAGCAGCTCAAGCATGGACGGAGAACCAATACAGACCTACATGCCTCACTTTCCTCAACTATAAATGAGGGTTTGGACTAGCTGCTAGCTGGGACCCTCTCTTTTCTTTTCATCCTTTCCTACATTTAAAAGTAGCTCTGGGAAGCGGGGGGGGGGGGGGGAGTCCAGGGGGGGGGGGGGGGGCCTGAGGGGAGCACGGTTAGTTAAGCATCCAACCCTTGATTTTGGCTCAGGTCATGATCTCACAGTTCATGGGATCAAGCCCTGCATCCAGCTCTGCGCTGACAGTGCAAAGCCTGCTTGGGATTCTCTCTCCCTCTCTCTCTGCCCCTCCCCTGCTTGTGAGCTCCCTCCCTCAAAATAAATAAATAAACTTAGTGAAGAGGTACAGACAGCCCAAGCATCCATCAGTGGATGGAAGGATGAATAAACAAAGTGTGATCCTATCCATACAGTGGAATATTATTCAGCCACGAAAAGGAACAGAACCCTGACTCGCGCTTCAATGCAGATGGACCATGAAAACAGTGCTGAGCAAAAGAAGCCAGACACAAAAGACCACACAGTGTATGATTTCTGTATATGAAATGTCCAGAACAGTCAAATGCATAGACACAGAAAGTAAATTAGTGGTTGTTAGGGGCTGGAGAAGGGCGGATGAGGAATGGCTGCTGACGGGGGCAGGATTTCCTTTGGGGGATGGGAATGTTCTAGAACCAGACAGAGATGGTGGTTGTACAACACTGTGAACATAAAAATGCCTCTGAACTGGTCATTTTAAAATGGTTAATTTTAGGGGCGCCTGGGTAGCTCAGTCAGTTAAGTGGCCGACTTTAGCTCAGATCATGATCTCACAGTTTGTGAGTTCGAGCTCCACGTCGGGCTTTGTGCTGACAGCTCAGAGCCTGGAGCCTGCTTCGGATTCTGTGTCTCCTTCTCTCTCTGCCCTTCCCCTGCTCACGCTCTGTCTCTCTGTCTCTCAAAAATAAATAAACATTAAAAAAAATTTTTTTAATAAAATTTTATGTTATGTAAGTTTCATCTCAATAAACAAAGAAAGAAGTGGCTCTTAAATGCATGGACGTGGAGCGTAGGGGTCAAGGGCATAGCCTCCAGAGCCAGGTGACCACGTTTGCTCCTTCTTCCTACCAGCTACTGGCTGAGTGACCTTGAGCAAGTCATTCACCCTCTCTGTGCCTCAGTTTTCTCATCTGTAAATGGGAATAACAGTAGTACCCATGTCATAGGGAGGAAAAATAAAACAATAGACACATAAGGCAGAGTCTAAAAACTGCTCAAAAGATGTTAACTTAAATTACACTTGGAAACATGTGCTTCCTTAAAAAAAAAAAAAAAGGCGCAATTTCTTCCAGCTAAAATGGAGCCTCCAGAATCAGATCCCCCGCGCCCCGCCCCCCATCTTGAACAACTGGAAACAAATAGACAAAATGTGTAAAATAACCCTTTTCAGACATTGGAGAGTCAACGCTGGGGTTCTAGAAAAGGCAAGAAGGCTACACTTTGCAGAGCAGAGTCCTGGATAAAAGACAGTTGGGGGCGGGGGGGGGTGGGCAAAGGGAGCAACTGACAAACGCAGTGATCTTTCGAGAGTCTGAGAAGGAAGAGGCAGAGCTGTGCAGAGACCAGGGACTGAGCCTCGAAAGGAGCTGGTGTGAACCAGCCAGAGCGGAAAGACTTCATAAGGAAGTAGAGAAAACTTAGCCCCAGCATAAAGACTATTCTGGTCCTGCTTAAAAAAAAAAAAAAAAAAAAAAAAAAAAAAAANAAAAAAAAAAAAAAAAAAAAAAAAAAAAACAGCAAACAAATAAACAAAACTTAACAGCAAGGCTGGGAAGGATCAAACTGTTTCCAGCAACTTAATTGTATCCCAGAGCAAAGCTCAAGAATATTTAGAGGAAAT